CCCGAAGCGCCCAGCGCCTGGGCTCGGGCGAGCGCCTAGGCGGCGCCTGATTGAAGCGCGCCGCCTGGGACATTAGCGAGGCGCTCGGGCCTCGCCTCGCCTCGCCCGAGCGCCTAGGCGAGCGCCCGAGCGCCTTTTGCAATCACTGGGTCATTCAGATCACAAGCATGCTTGTGGTTGAAGTAAATCTCAATGTTATTTGGAAGCCGTAAGTTTACACCTATGACACAACTAATAAATTTCAGAAAGATCAGACGAATCAACATCTGCTGGTATGACTTTTTAGAGTATGCTTAATTGAAGAGTAATTTGTGAACCAAAGGAAATTTAGTTTTCTAATAATATAAAATAAAATTCAGAAAGCTGTGTGGAAATTTGTTAATACTTATTATATATAAAAAAACCCATGCAGTATGGAGGAAATTACTTATATATCACAAGGAATTAACCTGATTTAAATTAGTGAGAAAGCAAGTAAGTGATTACATCTATAACCAGCCGATGATAATGCTCACCCCAATAAATGCAAAAAAATTAAGGGCAAATTTATTGCAATTTCACTCAATAAATAATGGCCTGTTGCATCAACAAATACGCAAAAGTCTAGGACCGACTTATTGCATTCTCACTCGACAAAAATGACTCCTTGCATCAACAAATAGTTTGCTATATATAAATTAATGTATTAGTCAAAAACAAAAAAACTGTACTGACTCTAGAATCAAAATTAAAGAACTTCTAGTTGTGCATAATGTAAGCATTCTAATTGAACCAAATATACCGAAAGGACTAGGTCTAATTACAAGGCCATGTCAAACTTGCTAGTCATGTATGCATGGTAATGGAAAGAAATAGAAATAAAAAATTTGCTAGGTCTTATCACAATAGTGCTGTGATATATTTAAAGTATTTATGTGTTAGAAACAGAATTTCATTACAAGCAATCATGTTGCCTATTCTGAGCAAAATGGGTACAAGCTTAAATGTCTGAAAAAAAATGTCATCACTATATCACTTTGACGTTACCCAAAATAGAAAAGAAGGTACCCAGAGTAGAAAGAACTAAAAAAACTAATGAAAATCAAAGTACCTTATTGAATGATATTATCCGGTGCAAAAGGTTAAGAGTGAGTGATACATCATCCACATTATCTGAATGAAAGTCCTGTGTCAAACGCAAAACGAGAAGCAAAATGCCTGAATGTGCACACTACATGGTACATGCAGAGACGTGTCAGGAGACTCGAGATATTGTCAACAATAATGTAAAACATATTCAGCAAAGAATAGAAGGAACAGAAAAATTATTAAGGTTAACAACCAAAACGAATATTCAGATTTCAGATCATATATGGATTAACTGCCAAAAGTTAGGAGACTTAATAGAAGAATAGAGGTCTATCACAAGTATGAGAAATACCCATATCCCTAACCATTTGACAAGCCATCACCTATAATTGCTGCTTCCCCCACCTTTCCTCAACCACCACTTCCACATAATGCCATCCGCCACCACCTAGCTGATCCCACTCCCCAGTCCCCATCATCACCAAACAACATCACTTGCAATTACCACTATTCTCCATCGATGTTTGATCACCAACACTACTACTGCCTACAGTTCACCACTGCAACCATTTCCACAACTGATCCACCACCTGCCCCAGTTGCAGTGGCTTCCACTTCTGTAGCTTGGTTGCTAGTCACATGCATACAAATCTTCAAATAATCCAATTTGTTTTTAAATCTCAAAATACTTTTGGGAAGGATTAAAATGTTAACACTGAGAATGGTAAATGACCAATGTATGCAATGTATGCATTAATTAACTAAAATGATCATATAAAGGCAATATCCGTAAGATTAAAAATGCTTGACAATATGTAGATAAGACTTCTATCGGTCGCAAGCTTAGACAGCCTAACCAAACAATTCAACAAAGAGGATGATATCTAATTCACATACGATAATGCAACGTTGCAGTAAAACCAGCTAAGCAGCTATTCTAGCAGAGTATCCACAGTCTCAATGTAAAATAGCACAGGAAAAAAATTATTAGCAACTTCAAGATCAAAATCATTGCAACAAAAAAGCTCATGCGATTTACCTCCCAACAAACAATAGCAATATTTGGGGCAAGGAATTTCAAGATACGGCCAAGGGTTCCACTAGGTATCAAAAGGCCTTCAACACCAGGAACTTCTATAGGATGATGAGTCTCAATGATATCAGAAACAGTTTTATCACCATAACCACCAGAAATCTCAAACAGTGTTGTTATACCACTCATCTTATCTAGATAGTTGTACCTGTCAAAAGGGCCAACAATCAATCATGTAATAGTAGCACATAGCCACATATATTATCCAATATCATGCATTTCAATATTCACCAAAATAACATTACCAGAAATGAAATATAGTAAAACATATTGCTACAAAAAGTTATCAGAAAGGTAAATGATCCAAATGCCATCTACAATAGTTGATGCAAAAGAAGCACAAGTCATAAGAAGACATATTGCAGGATCTTATGATCACTGATTTTGTGATTGACTATGTACATGGTAAGACTAAGACCTGCACAAATGGCCTAGGAAATATTGGACAGATTTCAGCACTCAAGTTTGTTTGAAACTTTGAATGATATTTGTTTGAATGATAAAGAAAGATTAGACAAACAAACCTTTCAGAGTACAATAACATGTTAATGTAATTTATAGACTGGTTTACTCAACCTTTAGGAGAATTAACACCATTATGGCTGAGACCTGTGTGAATTTAGGCATTCGCTAATTTTCAAGGCATGAGTTATCATCGGATACCGCTTGCTGCCTAGGTACCAGAATGGAATGTATTAAGTATTAACTACCAAGGCAGTGATGTCCGCACCTTCAGCAGCGCTGCATGTAGGCACGCTAAGTGCAAGGTCCAATAATGTCACTCTGTCTGCATAATATATAATAGATATGAACTTAAAGGATAAAAACATAGTTTTTTTTTTACATATTTACCATCTCGAAGCTTGGAAGTAGTGTATTTGTCCGTACAAATTTTTATGCATACGCATCCCTCCCAATATTTAAATCCTCTAAATATATCACTCTCATTAATAAACTCCAATTAAGCATTACTAACCATGATTACCAGCAGAAAATTTGACTTAAAAATAGAAGAAAAAAAATTCTAAATAACTAATATATTGTTATTATTTTCACTGATTATTTTTCTCTGTTTCCTTGTTTCTTCCTTTTTCTCTTCCTCTTTCACTGCCTGCTTCAATGTTGGAAGAGAATTGAGATATTTAAAGGATTATACTGGAAGAAACTTAATGATTTGAAGTCAAAGGATCATATGCTACAGAAAAAAGTAGAAGGCTGCAGAAAAGACACCTGATTTGATGGGCAGTCATGTCAATTGGAGTCTTATTCATTATTCTAATAATCAGCTAAAAGATATTAACTGCAATTAGTTTATATGCATGTTTTTGAGTTTTGCAAGAATATATGTGCTAAACTAATATATAGAGAGGTAACATAAAAATCACCAACTTTGGTTAGATATAATATAATTTTGCCTAAATAGACAAATTTTTCAGAATACTTAACTTCATCCTTTAAATGAGCATCAAAAAAAGAAAAAATAAAAAAAAAGATTGACCATATCTGATTCCAAAAATGCTTGATTTTTTGCAGATCAATAGGACTCAAAAGGACTATGTTCCAAGTCCAATCAAATTTTTGGAATCAATCTTTGATCAATTCCAACTGACTATAACCAACTTCTAGTCAATCTTGACTAGCTATAACTGGTTATAACTGATCTGCAACAATTCTAGCCAATCAATAATTTGATTCAGTAAACCAACTTCCATGTAAAACTAATTAGGCTGATTCAACCAATGTTATCAATCCAGGCTGATTTTGATCCCAAATTCAAATGTGAATAATAGTGTTCAACCAGGGAAAAGAAAAAAATAACCATATAGATGAATTGAGGCACATTTCAGTGTCAAGTCTACTATAAATTTGAGATATTTGTCTCTCTCTAGAATAATATTGTCTCTTACAACCAAAGTGGCATAGTGTAGTATTGTTTCTTAATAACACAACCAAAGCTTTTACTTCTGTCTCATATCTTGAATATTTGTTTAACTTCTATGACAAAATAATAATAACTTATTCTACATACAAGTCCATGCATGAGCCACCTCTATGTTTTTAACAAACTTTTATTATCGTGTTGAACATGTTGAATCCGAACACTATTTCTGACACAATGGTTAGAAAAATCGGCTGATCATGACATGAGATCAACCAATCTGATCCACCCCCAATCTCCATTATAGTATTTTTATGATTTATATGCCTGAAAACTAATACTAACATAGTTGTTATTGTCTTAGTACTCTAATCTCTATATTTCTTTTACAATACTAGTGCAATCCTTTTTATTTTATATATTTTTGTCTTTAATTTTTAAAATTCATTTCTGACAAATATGATCACCTATCTGGCTAATCTTGTTCAGATTGACACAACAATTCATAGCTTGACCTTGACCCAGAATTTTCAAGCCTTTCAAAGCAAAACCATGACTAGAAAAAGGCTAGGATATAAGAATCACACGGGGGACAGATATAAACAGTAAAAGAAAAGAAAGGATCACGTACACACACTCTGCAGGCCAAGATCCTTCACAAACGGCAGACAACAAACGTACAAATTCAGTGATATGAATAGGGTACTCTTTCTCTAACATAAAAAGGATAGATCTAATTGGACCATCAACGAAACATTCTTTATCCCAAAACTGCAGGGCAAGTGATTCCTGAAAAATACAGGACAAACAATGTGCACAACTAAGTAAATGATAACATCTAAAGCTACAAAAAATCAGAAAAGCTGATGAACAAAATTTTATACGATCACACCTCCCCATGGTATATATGGTATAGGATGTCCAAAATTTTGATCAGAGTGTTGTCTTCTTTCTGGATAGAAAGTCCAGTGATTAGTATAATATATTGGCTATTCACTCAAATCTTGGAAAGAACAAGATATTCCACACCAAGGGAATTGAATGTTCGTCCTGTTTTGCACAAAATGTTATACCTGATGGGATAGCTCATAGGAGGCGATAAAAGCAGACAAGAATGTTCTCATGACACTTAAGAAACCAGAAACAGGACCCTGCAAAGAAAATAACTTAGATCACTTATGAAGTCCATATCAAGCACTAAAGAAACTTTAGTAAGTTTCGGACTATATGATTCAATTTACAGGTAACCAACAAATCCAGAAAATTAGTATAGACATATTCATTAAAAAATTGAAATGACACTATGTTCTACCAGTAGCAATTTATTATAATCAATGTTAAGCAAAAACCAACAGCCTAGAGATAATGAACTATGACATAAATTCTACATTTTGACTGAAATACTTGCAATAAAAACTTACATCAGAATCTCTGAATGTGTCATTGCCAAGAATCTCAAGTATATAATCAAATGCTGCAACCTCAAATGCTTGGCGAACATAACTGACATGATCAATCTCCTAAAAAATGTGTCAATGCACAAAACATTATAAAGGCTACTGCAGAAACTAGGAAATCTGATGGTATTTACCATTAGGGTACTACTATTGTGTGTCTCATGAAGGGATAACAATAGACTTAGAAAAACTGCCCAAGCAAGAAGCAGAGGCCCTGCTTCCACAGCCCCTAAGTCATAAAAACTTGACACTTGAGCATCCATCTCTTTGATGTCAATTACAGAAAATACAGAACCACCCTCCCTGATACAAGTGAAAATGTCAAACCAAGATACATAGGAACAGGTCAACAAAAAAGACAAATTGGCCTAAAAGAAATGAGAAAAGCGGAGTTCAACAGTTCTAGAAAGAACCTGAATGGAATCTGATCATGAACCATATGAAGTAGATTTTCTAGGTCCAGGGTTTCAATAAGTATAAGCACCATCTTAGCTCTCACATGAGCGAATGAATTTCTTGCTTCTGTTGAAACTGCTACTTTCCCTATATTAAGTGACCCACAAAGTACATCCTGCATTTTGTTGCAGCACATATTTATCACTGAAGTGGGTAAGTATATTGAAATTTAAACTCTAGCACAGGAACCAATAATTTACCTTGAAAAGTGAGCACATAGTTTTCCATTGCTCAATCTTGCAACTACAAAAATTATCATAATAAGCAAGGAATAAAATGTCCATTAGTAGGTTTTCTTCAATCAATATCTCATCCACCCAAAGAATCTTGAGATCAACTTCCTACAAAGCAAATACCATGAGAAAAAGGTTGATTAAGTTAAAGCAAAACGACTAAAATATGAGAGTTCAAAATCAATAAAGTAGGACTCCGAGATCGCTGCCAAAAGAACAAAACAAATAATTGAAAATGAGACACCAACTAGTCTTCTTCCGAACTATAGCTAAAGTTGAATAATTCTCTCCCTTTTTTATATGTTGACACAGGAGTATTCCCATAACTTGAATCAAGAGAATTCAAGGTATTCTTATTAATCTCTTAGCTTTCCAATGAACCAAGATTTAGGGACTAATTTCATATAAATTTCGAGATTAATGCTGAGACATTTATAAAGCACATTATTCTAAAGCCATTGGAAAGCTCTGTAAACCAAGGATATAGAGAATTTTAAATAATTCAATTTGAAGTTTTCTAGAAAAAGTCATTTTCATTTTTCTCTACAAATGTCATGGTGGCAGTACTACCAAGAATGAAAGAGAATTATCTACTTGAGTTTCTAGGTGATTTTTAGTTATTATATACGTTTTTATTTGTTTTACATTAATTTTGATATTGAGAATGGTAAGGAACTAATACTCACCCATGCTTGAAGAGTTGCTCCAAGCCTCTGTATATATTGTGGCTTCTAAGCCTTAGTGATGACATATAGAGTGATTTGAATATTATTTTTATAGAGGTCTTGTCTTTCTCATACAACTTTTTATCTCCCTTGTAAATTCCTTACGAGTGGTGAGTTTCTAAGGCTTGTGTTCCCGGTTAAACTCCTTTGAGAGTGGTGATATATGTACCTTTTGATGTTTTATGGGGTGGTGAGCTTATTTATCTTTTCCTTAACTCATTCCACTTTTTTCCTTTCCATCATGTCATCATATATTAAAATATAATACAAAATCTAAAAACATGAATTTGAAATGGCTACTAGAGAACAAAAAAAATGATTGAAAGTGAGACACCAACTTGAGTTCTTGCTCCCTTATGGTTGAAGTTAAATGATTCTTAGGTGTATAAAACATAATGTGCAACTCTATAATTTATTAGGGGAAGGGGAGTTGGAAAATGATTGAAGGTTAGTTAAGTCTTACTGCCCACCAAAACAAATGTACCCACGAAAATGCACATTTGCAATTTTCAAAATAGATCCTAAGCCATTTATACATAATGCAGTACTTAAAAATACTAGACAAGGCTTTAACTATTAAAACAGGAGTTTAATAGTTATTAGGAAAGAAGTTTAAGATATAAGTCTAAATGTCACATGAAGCTAAACAATAAAATAGTTACACCTAAACAGAGTTTGAAGCAACCGATTCAATTAATATAGTATAACATACAACTAGATAGAGAAAAAAGGACTTGAATCAACATACAGTTTGATCAGAAAAAACAGATAAAAGGAGATCTTGGAAGATGGTCAGTAGCTTCCGTTCAAACCCATCATTGATTAACTGCAACGCTATGCCCTTAAAAGCTTCTGTTGAAAGCAAACCATTGCTTGTGTGTACTGCACAAGAACACATCCTTCATTGGTGAAAATAGAGAACAATTAAATTAATGAAAGTAAGATATAGATATGTTAACTAGTGCATCATAAAAGAGTTATAACTTTCAACATTGAAACAATTTGTTTAGGCGGAAGACAATGAACACATCAAAATATTTCCAACATCCCATTTCGAGGACTCACTGCAACAACTACAAATTGCAATTAGGAAAACAACACACAACACCAGTTTTCTAGCACTTCAAACACAAACGGGAATGTGATCATAGTTCACTTTGCATAGGCACATACTTTTGTCATTAATGTTCGTAGACGGAGTTTGTGTTGATGTTCAAGTATTCAATTGGATGTATTGTATAACCTACATAATTTATTAAGCCATTAGGACTTGAGTTTAGAGAACTCTATAGGTTGCTTTATATGTTAACATTTTGAGAGTACAAACTTTTCAGAAAGGTAAGTTTTATCACATCATTTTTCTTTATACCTGTGTCCTAGTCTTATTAAGATAAGTCGATGAAATTTATAAATGCAAGACCATATAACCACTTGTAATTGGCCTTATAATTAATGTTCGTTAGAAAATGAATGGCTGGGTATCTTCACTCTCCCCAGCCCTCCTTCCCTCTCTAGTTGTTCTTTCTTCTCTAATATATTTACTTCTAATCTGTAACTTCTGTTGTTGATTGTTTCTGATTCAACAAGCAATTAATTTCTTTTGCATCTCTCTCACTCTCCATTTATTAATATAGCACTTTCTTAGTGATACATATTGTTTAGTTCTGATGTTTAGTTGTGATCTCCTGTACACAACAATTAACTGGTAGCCCAAAACTTATGGTATGCCTTCCTTGAAGTATAACAACAAATTGCCCCCCTTAAATCATTAGCAATTAAAGTAAATTCAGTTCTGTTCTCTTTCAGTGTAAATTTAGCAATTACCACTTCCTTCAACTAGACCTCAGCATTCAGCTACTATGCTGGTTCCAGTTCCCAGAACACAGGAGCAAATATGAACTGCCCATCAGTATGTCCCAGAATCTTCACACCACATGCTTCTGGAATTGTCTTATGGATAAGCTACACCTTGACCTGTCATGGAGAATTGCCTTCACACCATTGCTCTTATAGAGCAAGTTTTTTATCACCCATAGCATGGGTGTTTGTTCGCCCGCACTTGTGCTGAGCATAGCCATCACACTTGCAGCGGAATTCAACAGATGGTAGCTTGTATCTCTTCAATCATACAACAGGACTGAAACCAATGGTTACTTTTCGGGTTTTAGATGTTTTTGAAATTCAGAAATTCGAAAGATAACTAAATGATTCATAGTTGCAATTCTATGTGACAGAGGGAATCTCCTATCTCACAAGAGAATCTCACTTGGAATCACACTTGCCAGACCAAAATACAATTGCCCCACACTTCATTCGATGTACTCAACAGCCATGCTCACACATACAGTTGACAGCGAGTTTGGTACCAGTGAGATTCACCTTAATCCAAACCCAAATCCAACTTAAACACCTTTTTTCCTACCCAAACTTGCCCCAAAACTCAATCAAAGGCTTCCGGAACCTGATCTGACCTTTTACTTGTTGCCATCCCTCCCCTATATTAGCATTTACAATAGGTAGGGCACCAAAACCTGACGAAGCATTTATGTACTCGAATCCAAACTCGAGTACCTACTTTATACCAAAACCTGTCCAAAATCCGATTGAAGTCAAGTTTACTCGAGTACCTGAAAATATCTGACCCACTATCAACCTTACTCATGCATGTTTCAGACATGTGCATGCACACACCCATTTTCACACACACATCAAGAGTGCACATGCATGTTATGCAAACAAAAGAAGCATAGCATGCCTGAAGGGAAAAACATCGAACTTTGGCGAGTATCGATGGACCCAACTAGCATTATCTTAACTACAAGAAAGTTCCAATGGAGTCTGTAGAGATGAGGCATGTGTTCTTATTGCTTACTAAGCAGCTGATGAACCACCTTTCAGGATATGTCAAGTGCATACAGTGACAGACTGCAATATATAATCTGATGATCTAACCAAGATTTTCTTCGACCAATATGGAGATTACAGTGACATACTGTAATATATAATCTGCTGACCAAACCAAAGTTTTCCTCAACCAATAAGGACATCAAACTTAGCAAGACAGAAAGACAGCATTATCATGAACTTACATGCATTCGCAAAGATCCGTCTGAGGCACTGCAACAAGCACTGTCGCTCAAGAAAATAGTTCAGCAATACCTTCAAAGACAAAGCAAGGTGAAGGTCAGCATTCAACAACAATAAATGGCAATTAATGCATCAAATATATTTCTACACCAGTGAACATGACTATGTACTGAATAATAACAGAAAAATATTGGCACTAAATGATGATATTAATGAACCCAACATCCATATGGGTACGTAATGTCCACTTATATATGTTGCCATATCCAATGAGAACAAACTATCAATTGATGAAGGATAGCATGGAAGATTATTTCCTACATAGCATCTGCAGTTGGTTTTGAGCCTTCATGGTTCATTCTACGATATAAGAAAATATAAAAGGAAAGCCTAGTGAAAAGGCAACTGCCAATGCAGGGTTAAGAAAGGTCAATGGACAAAACTACATAGCCTTACCCTTACAAACAAAAAAGCTGCTTCCATGACTCAACACTTGTCATCTAGGTTAAAATAGAGAGACCTTAACATGGTGCCAAGGCTGCAATGTTTGTCTCCATAAGAAAATGACTGCAACAAATGGATATATTATTTTATCGTGCAAATGATGTACATAGGAACATAACAACAAGTAGTCTAATACTGTTGTGGGTTTGACATAACTATGACATAGCAAAGGACCACTACATAGGCAGATGGTTATTGTTCAAATCTTAACCATGGATTACAAACTATACCTTCTACTGTATCTAACAGCTCTTTTTCAATGTAAAAAAGTTACTTCATCTGTCTGCTGCAGCATTCTCAGTACTTTAGTAGTATAATATATGAAGTTATGAACTATGTGCTGGATATCATGTGCTACGTAATATTGGCTATTATGCGAATTATGAATTTTATGGTGACAACAAGTGGAAGAGATGCAATGGCACCTTAAGGTTAGAATGTCAATAACAAGCAACATAGGGAATCAGGGACGAACAAATGATGGCACAAAACGGTGATGCTGGCTTGGGTGAAGCAAAGCAAACCAATACGGAAGCACATAAAAGGGACAGAGGAGACAGAGCTGCCAAGGATAGGAGGAGCAAAAGAAAAACAAAATGGACAGGTGAAAAATAAGGCAGGAAGAAGAGCCAAGCACCTAACTCTCTCCATGTTTCCATAGATGTACAAGTGCATATCAAATTACGAGACCTAAAAACACCTCATGAAATAAGTTGTCAACTCTGCCTTTAGCCCTAAACTTCATTACCAACATTTCACCAATGGCATCCTGACCTTATGAGAAGCCTGAAATATGGATGAACTATGGCTTCTCAATGTTAAGGGTTAGTTTTATTTATGCAATGAACTTAGTTGAAGTATTTGTACACCCAGTTTGTAACATTTACAATAAATAAGCAGCAATTTAGATGTCACTCAGGAACCAATGGTATGCAAATAAAAAATTCATTTTTCACATGATGTTTCCAATTAAGAAAAAACCAAATTGTGAAAATTAAGACAAGACAACGAGAAAATGGGGACAAAAAATACATGGGACCCAAGTAAGAAACAAGAGAGAGTGAGGAATCCAAAATTGATATTACATACAAGATGAAGGCATGATCTAGCAATTTGATATAATTTAGAGAGAGAACAATATTATATACAAGATATAAAGTTAAATGAGACTGAGGAATCCAAAATTGCAACATTAAAAACTAAACAATATAGAACATAGGTATAGTAAATGAAAGAAAACCACTTACAGAATGCAGAAACTCTTTGTCTTCAACGTCAGCAACTAACTTACTAATCCTGTAGGCTCTATGGACAAGGATGTATGACTGCACCTCATTTAAGCACTAAAAAACCAATAAAATATTATTTCAGGACTCAAACATTCATTACGAAGAGGAAAAGCTCAGAATGCTTTAAAGATGAACAAATAAGTTGCATCATGTTTATGCGCAAAAGTCATATATAAACCTCTTTATGCTTCCACAAAGTATGTGATATCAAATGATCTTAGTTAGGTTCGTTTTTTTAGTTTCCTATCATGTGGGTCATAAATACCAACACTGAAATTACAGTTACAACAGCATAGAAATCCAGTTTAAAGACTGAGACACATATCATAAAATTCAAATTACGAAGCACGGATATAAAATTGCCATGCCAAGTTAACCATTTGCAAGTTCAAAGAAATAAGTGCCACAGCAGACTTGGAAATACATGATTCACTAATGTTATAAGACATATAGTATCAGGGTCCAAGTTGATCACCATAAAATCCATAGAAAACCAGTTTGTGCCTCCACAAACATAACTAAGGTTTATCTAATGAACAACACCATAAGATGATGGCAGTAATAATAATAAACATATCAGACTCAAAACTGCAATTTTCAAGGATGAGCATGACTACAATACTTCATTGGCATGAATATACAGATGAAAATGCTGCACATGTTTTAACTATCATGCTTGTTTGACTACAATAACGGGCCCTTACTCCCCAAATGTTCAGGTAAAATCTTCAATGAAGAAGATATGCCATCTCACTGATGGACTAGCCCAGGCAAAATGCAGAAACTGCCCTAGGACTTATTCACATGCAGGAATCATATGCACAGAAACACATCCCAATCATCATGTGATTGGGCAGCCCATGGATGCCTTGGTGGATCCAGTCACCCCAGAATGACTCCCAATGGGTAATTTCAACAGTATTTTTTCATCCCCACTTGTCAAAGGAAGTACATGATACATATGATGACATCTAGAGTTTTGAAGGAAAACATATGGAAGCTATGAATGGAAACAACATTTTGAAATTCCAGCTAACCTGTCGATATCTGTTTTGTTATTCTTCTTCATTAGAACAAAGTCAAGTTCACAACTCTATCAAAGGGAGATAGCCCAGAAATCAGCAACACTATAATTTCTGTGTTTTATCAAATGTCATTGTTTCTAGCTGTTACATATTTGTTGTTCCTATATCTCTTCTTCTTCCAATTGAGACATTATCAGTTTACCTCTAAGCGTTTATCAAGTGCCATCCAGAAAAGGATGGCCTCTGGGCATCCAAAACAACAATACCTTTTTTTTAGATCACTCAACAGTTGCATAAGACTACTCTTCTATACCATATGATAGAACACAAACATGTTCAACTACTCCAGATCACAAGGAATACTGCAAGATGTAGAATAAAAACTGACAACCTAAAGATGGTGAAGATGCAGCAAAACACTCCATTGGAATTTGATCAATATGAATATTGTAGAAAGGATTTGAAAGTAAAAACAAGACAAGCCATTCTTGTTGAATTGAAAAGAAAATGGCTGAGCCAGTACCATAATTGTCTACATCGCATGCCTATGATAAAAGATCAGATAAAAACAAGAAGATTGATTCAAAGTTGCGAAGACTTTGTAGTCAGGCAATCAGCAGTCAGGCAAACATTTTGGCTTAAGATGCTTAACTAGATTGTTAAGATATTAACAAATTAGTAAAGAAGACAACTGCTTGATTAGTACCATATATGGTTCCTGTTCAGTGGGATACAGTTACTCATTCAACGTTGAAAATTTTTGACATTTACCCTGAGTACCTTGACAGCATAATGAGATGCAAAGAGGTATTCCAAAGACCAAAGCCCCAATCAGGCCATGATAAACTAAACATTTCTAGGATGGAAAAATCACTACATAACCTGTGATCTGTATGGTAGCATGGTAGCAAATTTAGGCGACAATTCAGATGTATAAACAATAGAACTGCTTACGTAATTGGCCACACATTTTTAAATAAAAAGATTGTGTCAATCAAGTTTAACATACACAAGATACGATGCTAACGCAATTGACTGAGTGAAACATCAGGGAAGGGAGAAAAGATAGGAGATACCATGAGTTCGCTAAATCGAAGAGCAGCATTTTTGAGCTCAGGCTTCACTAAAATTCGATGTGATCCAACTGCTATTTCACGAGAATCTAGCGCAAGCCTCGATGTCTGATCCGGAGGTTTGAACAGCGTAACCGAGTTCAAGAACCAGGCGTGGTTTCGCCTGAGTTTCTCCGCCTGGAAGAACCGATGATCAGCCGTCCCTTCCAAAAGAAACAGCAGAGCGAAAGAGGGGGTGGGTTGTTGATACCAGGTGATCCGGGAGCTTCTCGGAGTGAGGAACCTTGTCGAGCTCGTCGAAGAGGGCGACGAAGGAGTCCCACCAAAGAGACTCGTCCACGGGCGTCGCGGCGGGCGCTGCGTTCGCCATCGCCGAGAGCAAGGCGGGGTGCGTCTGCTCGGAGCTTCCTCGTTTTCCCGTTAAACCTTATTTCTAAACCCTAGCTCCGGAAGCGCAAACATCCCGACCCCCACATTTTCGAAAGGGGTTTTATAGGGGGAGACAAGCTTTACCGCCTGACAATTATTTTTTTATTTATTTTTTTTTATTTTTTATTTTTCCAATTTTGTTCCTTTAGTATTATCCTACAGACTGTACAGTCGTCTTCTCCATTCACAAATTTTATTACGATATAACGCAAAAATTATCCATATTTTTCTTTATTTTTTGATCGATATGGGAAAATGATTTGTGATATTTTATTTTAAAAATATATATCAAGACTACATTTTTTAATATCTATTTTTTTTGCTTTATTATTTATTTCATTTCGATTTTCTTTTCCTCTCCTTTCTTTTTATTTCTTTCCATCATTCCTTAAGTTTCCATGCGTTTGTTGATCGCGTAGAATCTGACCTATTTTCTCATCGAGCAAAGGGTATAAAATAAATCAGATTGATTTTTTGATAAACAATAAAAAATTACTATGTAAAATCTTTGATTTTTTCCTTTTTCCTCTATCCCTATGCTAGTGTTTGAATCAATAGAGAACATTTTCCTTTTATGAAAAATCGAGACATCCAATAACCAAAATCATTATAAATTTATTCAGAAACATAATAATTGAGTAATTCATCATCCATTTTATTTATCATTCTTTCGTGATAAAACAAACACAAACATTAAAAGTCTTTCAAATTTCTAAATTTAAGACTAAGCAGGAAGATATATATTTATCTAGGTCCAATTACTAAACATTCTGATATATATTTATCAAAATTAGAAAAATATCAAAAATAAATAAATTACTAAACATGCTGATATATATTTATCTAGGTCCAATTCAAAACTTTCATGAAAATGTCCAATGATTTGGATCACTCCTAATATGCGAGACACAATATTTGATCTAACCCCAAAAATAATGTATCATATACCATGACTTATGTTTTCTATATCAAATTTTTACCCTAGTTTATTACCTATTTAGAAGGTCAAGTGCTAGAAAATATTATATAAATCCATCTTAATTCAGTGAAAATAGGGAAAAAAACATACTCTTCATATGCTGAAAATTTTAAAAAACTATCTAAAAATATTCACTAATTTAAAAAATTAAGATAGAAGTTCATATTGGGTATAATGCAATGCAATGCAATGCTTTCACTTAACTTTCAAATGATTTGGAGTAGTATTTCACCATGTTAGTTAGTAGTTACAATTGATCAAGTTATTTTTATCAAGTTACTCATGGTCACTATTTTATAGCAGTCAACAACAAATAGTATCCTTGGGTCAATGTTTCAATGGTTCTTAACCAAACCCCTAACTAAATCTAATCAGTTCATAATGGGCAAACCTGATGTCCACAACCCATACTGTTTGACCACAGTACAACACACTACCAATATTAGATGTCACTATACATCATATAAAAGGCATCTTAAACTTTACAAAACTACAAATGACAAAGATATATATATATTTTTTTTTACAGAAGAATGCTCAAAATATTTGACCTGTACAGATGACAAAGGTAGCTTCAAAATGGTGAGAACACTAAACATCAATACAAATGAGCACCAAGTATCCTAATGTTCAGATATAGAACCCTAGAAATTTGTTTCTAGGGTGACTAAAAATTTATTTGTAGAAATGAAGATATGCCAGATAGAACTCTAGAAGCTCATGACAGTGTAGACGACGATGCAAATGAAAGGAATCCTTAGTAGCGACAATAATAAACTCTAAACTTGACACTCGTTGTTCGGTGGTTATGAAATAGGAGAAAGGTCGATGACTACGATGATATACGAAAAAGTTCGGAAATGAAAGATAGTACAATATAGGTCATGTTGATTAAGATGTATAAAAGAATCGATTTTTTCTCTAATTTAATCATATGTAAATCCAATCGGTTCTACAATAATAATATTATCTTCCTAAAAAATATGGATATTTTTCAAAATAGAAATGCTATATTGAAGAAACTAAAATTAGGGATTTTTTTAAATCACCCATAAAACAATGATTTACAAGATGAAAATTGCCCTTTACAACTAAAAAGACAGACCTTAAATTTTAGAAAATATAGAGACTGTTTCAAAGGTACATCCCTGATATTAAAAAATATTATTTAATCTAAAATTAGTAGAAGACGAAGCAAATGAGAGAAAACAAAAACTATAATCAATTAAAAGAATGAAGGAGAAAAAAGATGAAGACTTTGGATCAAATAGCTTTCCAACACATTGGACTACGGAAGATGATGCCAATTGTCCTAAGCTAAATCGATTACAGATCCCACTGAAGCTTATTGAAACAATGGTTGCTTTCTTCCACGTCTCAGCTGTCAAAGCCACCCAAAGAAGGCAGATGCAAGAAAATAGCTGCGACCGCCGCCGCCGCCGCCGCCACTGAAGCCTTCGTCCTCCATTGTTGCTGCGCCCACGGCACGATTTATAAAGCAGCTTTAGAATACGAGAGCCCAGTAAATAAAGGGATTCACGCTGATATGCTGTTAGCGGAGTAACTTACCGCTGCGGAGGAGATGCCGAAGTAGCCCGAGGAGGACGCGCCGTCGGGCTCGCCTTCGTAGCCTCCGTCGCCTCCGCCGCTTTCGCTGCCTCCGCCCGAGGTGGTGTCGTCCTCCGGCGGCATCTTGATGTCGAGATGGTAGGCGGGTATGCCGTCGGCCTTGAAGAGCCCGTAATTCCTCTCCGATTTCGGCCCCTCCTTCTGGTTCTCATTGAAGAGAGCGAAGATGTACGCCCGGAGGGGCGTCCCGGGCACCAGCGGCGTCCCCTTCTTCTCGCACACCAATCGGATCAGGTTACTGTTGTACCTGCCGGCGTTCTCCGGCGTGGCCCCGATCTCGTCCGGGTCACCTGCCGACGGCCACCCTGTTTCCGATACCCACACCTCAACCCGCTTCCCGGCGTCGCCACCGGCCGCGGCAATGGCGTGGTAGACGGCGTCGACCTGCGCGTGGAGCAAGTTGGCGTAGCGGAGGCCGGACCCGGGGTCGGTGATGCTGGCGGCGCTGGGGTCGAGGAGGGCGTACTCGAGCGCTATCTGGGAGGGATCCCGCTGGTAAGCGAAGTAGGGGTACGCGTTGGCGAAGAACGGGGAGCCGGTGCGGGCGTGGAAGGCGATGAGGGGGCAGATGTAGGGGAGGAGTTCGCGGCGGAACACGGCTGCCGAGGGCGGATAGGATGGCGTGGCGAGCACGGCCAGGGAGTGTGCGGTGGTCACGGCGACGACGCCGTCGAGGCCGAGGGTGGCGAGGGCGGAGTGGAGCGCCTCCATGGCGGGGACGAGGCAGCGGGCGAGGGCGAAGCCGGTATCGTGGGCATTGGTGAGCACCTCGTTGCCGACGGTAACGGCGACGATCTTGGTAGCAGGGAGGTAGGCCTGGATGTTAGCGCGGGCCCAGGCAAGAGCCTCGTCGGGGTCGGCGGCCATCGCGGGAAGGCAGCTGTCGGGGAGGCCGACGACGAGCTCGATGCCGGTGTTAGCAAAGGCGTGGAGAACGGCGGGGTCGGCGTCGTAGATGCGGACGCGGCCGATGCCGATGGAGGTGATGAGGCGGGGGACGGCCTGGGGAGGAGGGAGGTCGTCGCCGAGACGCCCGTAATTGACGCCCACAAAGGAGGCGGAGGTGGCGGAGGCGGGGAGGGTTAACCACGCGAGGGCGAGGAGCAAGGCGAGAAGAGTGAGGGCGGCCAATGCCATCGTCGAGTATCACCCGCGGCAGTCCCCCGCGGTGATGGTAGCAGCAGTGATGGTAGAGGTGGTCGTAAAGCTCACATTTATCCCACGAGGGATGGAGGAGGGGATAGGAGAGCGTTGAACAACATGCGTCGAGTTGGGGACCAGAGTGTGGGGAAGGGAGGGGGACTTGCGAGCTGTAGCTTTGTCCGAGACGACGGAGGAGAGCGGAGGAGATAGGGTCAAGGGCGATGAGCGGAGGGGAGAGGCGAGACGAGAGAACGACGCACAGGATGAATCCAGGAACGAAGCGTATTGGATCACGAAAACTCCCGACCGGAAACGACCGAATCACCCCGTCGAGCTTCCCGGGTGACGTGTCTCTGGACGCGCATGAACAGACATATCACGTCTGTCAAAGAAAACATGACCAGGAAAAGTCTACGGGTTGATTCGACCAGTGGAGGAAAGATGTATTTTGTTCTAAATAATAATATATTTCACTTTACAGTGCACGCCCATGTGGGTGGCTCGAAGAAGGGGAAGCTTCCCATTCAATTATCATCTTGTACTTTTGTCCCATGATTTTTTGCATGGCTTTAGAAGTTAGGCGGGCATCTCATCCCCAAACGCTAGTTGGGGGGTCGCGACGGCGATGCCGGCGGCGGTGGATGCATCGTCCCATTGTCGGAAACAACGGTTACTAATCTTATTATAGATACTCGTTTGATGTTTGTGTAAATATTAGAAAAGGAAATGAGAAAGGATACAATATATTCGGAACAATGAAAGTTTCTGTCACTTTAAAGGAATATATTGCATTCGTTAATGACAAAAGAAGGTGTTGGTGTAAACACTTTTAAGCCGTGGCATCGGGGTCGACGCGGTTCGGTTCGGGTCTGAATGTCGGAGAATCACCCAGACTTCTCCGGAGAGATCTTCGCCTGTGCGCCTGGTGAGATGGCGCCTCGTCTCGGTCCCTGCACACAGGTCGGGTCGAAAGTTCGGCCCGACCCCTTCGACGATCAAGTTAGTGATGTGGAGTAAGGTGATCTTTTTTTCTCCCCCTTTGCTTAGAACACGGGGGTACTTATACGGGAGCTTAGTGTTACTTGGAGCGCATGTCCGCAGGGAGCAGGGTCGTACCTCTGATGGCGTCTGTCATTTTTGTTGGCGTGTCATGAGGAGACGAGCCTGAGCGGTCGTTAATGGGCCTCGGTTGACGTTTTGGCCCATGCTGGTCAGGCGTTGTCAGCTTGTCAGAGACGCGGGGCGTCAACTGATGTCACGGGAGTCTTATCATAATTATTACCCCTAT